GTTGTTTTTCAATACTTTGTATGTCCACCTTTATTTTTGATGACAGATTTTGTCTTCTTTGACATGGAGGATGCCAGTGTTGCACTAAAGAACATTTCTGATGAGATATTCTCTCCTGTTCTTCAGACTATTTTTTCAGTTGTTCTTTGTGGGAGGGGTTGCATTGTTCTATGTTTTTCTTAAATACTCCAAAGGTGTTCTACTGGCTTCAAGTCATGTGACACAGGTCATAGTTTCACTGTTTTATTCCTTAGGCAGTGTGCTTTGGATCATAATAATGCTGGATTATTATTCTTCTGCCAAGCTTCTGCAGACTTGGAATAATATTGTTAGGCAACATTTTGATATATCTTCAGGTATTCATGGTATGGAAATGGAGAAACGCATCTGGGTCTACCCCAACCAGAAACCCTGGATGACCAGAGAGGTAAAGCAGCTGCTGAAGGAGAGAAACTCAGCCTTCAGAGCTGGAGACAGGGCTCTCTACAGCACAGCCAGCGCCAACCTGAAGAGAGGCATCAGAAAGGCCAAGGAGGACTTCAGGAAAAAGATCAACGACCAAATGGACAGCAACAACAGCAGGCAGGCATGGATGGCGGTCCAGCACCTCACCAACTACAAACCCGGCATCAGAGCTACTGAGGGCGATGCTGAGCTGGCAGAAGAACTCAACCTCTTCTTCGCCCGCTTCGAGACTGAACCACCAGGAGCAGCCACGGCACTACCAGCGGCCGGGAGCAGCCCCACCCTCACAGTGGGGGTGCACGAGGTGAGGCGCACACTGAGGGGGATCAACCCACGGAAAGCAACAGGCCCTGACGGCGTCTCTGGACAGGTACTGAAAGACTGTGCAGACCAGCTCCATGGGATCTTCACTAAGATTTTCAACCTGTCACTGACAAAGTCTGCAGTTCCATCCTGCCTGAAGACCTCCACTGTCATCCCCCTACCCAAGAAATCCCCCACTACCAGCCTCAACGACTACCGGCCAGTGGCACTCACACCAGTGGTGATGAAGTGCTTCGAAAAACTGGTTAAGAGTCACATCATGACCTTTGCAACCCCCAGCTTGGACCCATACCAGTTTGCCTACAAGGTAAACAGGTCACCAGAGGACGCCGTGAACACAGTACTACACACAGCGCTGACCCACCTGGAGAAACCAGGAAACTACACCCGCCTTCTCTTTGTAGATTATAGTTCAGCTTTCAATACGATCCTTCCCCACGGTCTCGTGAGGAAACCGCTGAACCTCGGTCTACCTCATTCCACCTGTCTCTGGATTATGGACTTTTTGTCAGCGGGTCAGGATTGGCCCCCACACCTCTGCACCCCTCACACTCAGCACCGGTTCCCCTCAAGACTGCGTGCTCAGCCCCCTGCTTTTCACCCTCTACACATCAGACAACACCCTCATCCACACCAGCAACACCTTCATGAAGTATGCAGACGACACCACAGTGGTAGGTTGCATCACAGGAGGTGATGAGTCCGCATACCGGGATGAGGTGCAACAGTTGACTGTGTGGTGTAGAGACAATAACCTGCTCCTGAACACATCCAAGACAAAGGAGCTAATCATAGACTTCAGCAGAAACAAAACAGACATTCAGCCCATTCTCATTGGTGGGGCCTGTGTGGAAAGGGTCAGTGACTTCCGCTTCCTGGGAGTTCACACTGAGGAGACACTGACCTGGAATGAGAACACCACACAGTTGGTAAAGAAAGCACAAAAAAGACTCAATTTCCTGAGAATCCTCAGGAAGAAGAACATCAGCCAGAGACTGCTTGTGTCTTTCTACCGCTCCACCATGGAGAGCATCCTCACCTTCTGTCTCTGCACATGGTTTGCCAGAAGCACAGTGGCAAACAGGAAAGCACTCCAGAGGGTCACCAAAATGGCTGCGAAGGTCATTGGGTGCCCTCTGCCCACACTGGAGGACCTTCATGGCTCTTACTGCCTCAGAAGAGCCAACACCATCCTGAAGGACTCCTACCACCCGGGACATTCTCTGTTTGAGTTTCTGCCGTCGGGCAGACGGTACAGGGCCATCAAAACCAGGACCAACAGATGGAAAAACAGCTTTTTTCCTACTGCTGTGAGAACAATAAATGCCTCCCTGTCGCATTAATGTGCAACATATTGCAAATATACAACTCCACTACCTCTGCCCAATATCCACTCTTTGCAATGTACACCATGCTCATTATTTAATATCATCTTTTTACATAGCGTTCTTTCTGTTTGTTTTTATACATATATTTCTTTTATATTGTATATAGTGTTTTACAAAGTTTTTATATTTTTGTTTTTTACACTGAAAGGACTGCACCTTTTGTTTCATTGTACTCGTTACAATGACAATAAAAGAAATCTGAATCTGAATCTGAAATAGGTAAATATCATCTCCTCAATATATTTTGCACTAATGCAGCCCTGGCAGCACAATAGGGCAGTGGTTAGCACTGTTGTGTCACAGCTAGAAGGTCCTGGGTTCAATTGCCAGCCGGGAGTCTTTCTGTGTGGAGTTTGCATGTTCTCTCTTTGTCTATAAGTAGGTTCTCACCAGTTTCCAATAATGTAATGGACTAGTGCAAATGGCAATAAAACAATAGAATAGAATAGAATAGAACAGAATAGAATAGAATAGAATAGAACATTCTACTGACAAAAAAAAAAAGTACATACAATATAATATTTGGTTAAACATCCCATGGCCATTTACACCTTACCTAGGCACCTTTAGGTAACTGTACACGAGCTTCTGGCAAGTTTCTGGTTGTGTCTTTGGCCACTCCCTTTGAAAGATTTAGTGTAGCTAAACTGAGTTTGTCAGCTCTCTGACACAGACTTGTTACTTCATCAGTCCGCAGGTTCTTGATGGGGTTTAAATCAGGCTTTTGGGGAGACCAGTATAATACCTTAATTATTGCCCGATGCAGCAATTTCTTTACCATTTTTGATGTTTGGGCTCATTGTCTTGCTGGAATACTCAACTGTGTCTCAGAACCAACTTTCTGGCTGACTATTTTAGGTTTTCCTGAAGAATGTGGAGGCAATCCTTCTTCTTCATTATTCAGTTTACTTTGTGTGAAGCTTCAGATTCATTGCCCCAAAGCATGATACTACAACCACCATGCTTGACAGCAGTTTTGGGTTTCTTGGGGTTAAGGGCTTCATCCTCTGTCCTTCCAACATATTTACGGTCATTGAGGCCAAATAGCTACATTTTTGTTTCATCTGACCACAGAGTTTTCAGTGGCAAAGAAGATTTATACTATAGGTAAGTTTGCATTAATTAATGAAGACACACACACACACACACACACACACACACACACACAACACACACACACATACATACATATATATATATATATATATGTATAGCAGAAATCCTTCTACCTTCCTCTTCCAGAGTCTTATTTTAGAAGCACAGTATCTACAGGATGGCAAGATCTAAATACTTTTGGTTTCTAATTCTGACCCAAGTAAAATATGAAGTCACCATTCAACTGGATAAAATCCAGGTGGAACCTCCTTTAATGTTTTGTCTTGCGGTGCCCTCTTGTGGATCTTTTGAGAATCACATTCCCTAGTCAGAGAAAGGGCTGTTTTACACTCGCTGATAGTCAGGCTGCTTGAGTTCGTGGCAAGAGGTTGAGTTGGAACTTGTGGGACTGCTGTTTTTTCTTCAGAATGTGTTCTTGCTGTACAAATTTACCTTGACAGCAGCTGAGATCTGATCTCAGTATGGGTCTAACCAGCTCCAGCACTGGTCTGGTTGAAATGGTAACATTTTAATGCCTATGTTTTACCTATTCGCATGCTTTTTTTTTCTTATACAGATACTTTCTTTGGACAATCTGATGATGAAAGGATGGAAAATTCAAGACTTTTTAAGACCATGCGAATATAAGACCTTACATTTCTAAAATGTCAAAGCATTTTTTTTTAGCTGATTCACTTTGAACAAAGTTCAACATTTGCCTTTGGTTTTATTGAGCTGTATGAAACACATGTAATCAAAAATATTAATTACAAGAAATCTGATTTCTTTGTCCTCCACAGTGATTCTATATTGAATATTCTTAATTGTTAAAAACACATATCCCTTTAGAATCATGACCATCTGAGCACTTTTTGATAAATCAATACTTAAAGCCCTGATTCAGTATAGAATTTTCAGATTCAAAAGTACACCCACAAACATTAGCAAAATTTGTAAGGTCTTCACCTTACTATGGGAAGTGCTATAAAATGTGATATGTAATGAATTGGCTCTATATAAATAACATTGAATTGAATTGAATTGATCCAGGGGCTGCAAGGTGACTCAGTGGTTAGCACCATTGCCTCACAGGTCGCTGGTTCGTGTCCCGGTGAGAACACTTGGGAGTTTGGACACTGTGTGGAGTTTGCATGTGCAGTGTGGCTTCCTCCCACAGTCCAAAAACATATTGACGTTAATTGGTGATTCTAAATTGTCCATAGGTGTGAATGTGAGTGTGCTTGGTTGTCTCTCTCAAAGTGTGGCCCTGTGATAGACTGGTGACCTGTCCAGGGTGTCCCCTGCCTTCGCCCTGAGTCAGCTGCGATAGGCTCTCTTCTGCTGTGTCTGTACCACTTGTAAACTACAGGATTTACAGACTAAGGTATTCATTTTATACAACTGAATTTAGAAACTACTGGGATACAGAGCCTATGTTAGAGTATAATTATGCTGTTTTAACATGCATGGCATAAATCCCACTAATGTGGCTCGCCTCTAAGTTAGTTAGCTAGCATGACCTATAAGCCACACATGACAAATTCATTGAAAATTAATGAGGTTGAAAGAAACCAAATTATTCTTTAATACAAAAAAGAGGAAAAGGAAAGATCACTTTATTATTCATCATCTGAACTAAATGGCATGAAATAACCATATCACTACTAGATGTGCCATTTGGGATCATTTACAAGTCAAAAAAATGTACAAGAAAAAAAAAACACAGGGTCTGAGGGTCTGTACATTTATTAGAGAAGAGTGAACCAGTAAATTGAACAAAAGAAGACAATACACATAGTCAACCTGCCAAAGGACATTTGAGGCACTTAGCATGAGGGAAGTTTCAGCCCACTAGACAGGAGCATTCAGCAATACATCAGTTCAGCATTTCCCAAGTGAACCCTGTAACACACCATTCGGTGGAGCACAGCATCACATTTCTTACCGCTAAAGGGCTGAGCTGCATATACTGTCTTTGCGTAATGGACTTTGATTTCTGTTCGCTTTTAATTTCAGGCGTGTATAACTGACACAGTTAGCCGATCGAGTAGTGTATCCCTTATAAGGAGTGTTATGTGGTTATCCCAGAGTTGACCTCACTTGTACTGTTAGAACCACCACTAACACTTCTTCTTTTTTAATTTTCATGATAAAACCAAATAGTTCTTTGGCCTGAGAGCAGCGAAGAAGAAGCAGTAAATGAAACCATGTGGACTAGCCAGAAAAAAAAAAAAAAGGCCTAGAGTTAATTTGGTATGTGCATCCATTTGGTTGTGATCAGTCCAAGCTGTCTGCATGAAGGGGTGAATTACAAAATCAAAGAGGAGGTGAGCCGACAAATTAGTTAACGCACAAAGTTACCATTTAGTTATTGCACGAAGTATGTACTGAAATTCTGTTCATCTCGCCCAATAGACCAAAACAGACTGATGCTGGATGAAGGAGTTTCATGGTAAACAGAATTAATCCAACTTAGAATAAATAGCCCTGTTGATGACTGGAAAAAAACAAACTATGTAGCCAGTGATAGGAAAAGCTAACCCATGAAACATTAGCATGGTTTGCATTGTTCAGTCTCTTTTGCATATTGAACGGACAAAAACTATTATTTCCAAGGTTTGGTCATCATGTAATACAATCAATAAAATCCTTTAAGAAAATAGGAAGTCCATGTCCTGTTGCCATTATTAAGATTTTTTAAAAAAGTATGAAAAATGTAACATTAAAGTAAATGTATGTACAGCATACTGGACTTGATGGCAATAAGCAAATGTACAGTTCAGTATAAATACAATAAAAGGTGAAAGTTAATGCAGAGTCCAAACGCAGGTGCTCCTACAACAGCTAAATGTCTATAGAGCATGAAAAACAAAACATAACAGTAACTAGGTCAGCTCTCGGCGTATTTGATATTAACAAGAACATTTATATGTCTATGTTTAAAGGTATGAAAATGCCGTTCTGTTCTTATCTTGAGTCTATGGGTTCACCGCTCTGTTTTGTTCTACAGTTAACGTAGGTCAAAAATACAGTTTCAAAATTTTATATATCATGTATTCATGTACAGTGTCAAATTTTTCTTCTGTCACATTTAGTACTTTCATTAAAATATATGATTTGGGGATGATCCAGCCAACCCTTCCCATCATAAAACAATTTTTGACCATTTTTGAACCAGCACTAGCAGCAGTAACACAGATTCAAGAGCCAAAAACATTGTAGTTTTCCCCAGAAAGCTGTGGTAGTGGTCCAAGTGGCTCACACTGAGCCATTCTGTAGTGGGCAGCAAAGCTACACAGGGCTCGACAATATTGGCTGCCTTGTTGCATTAACTGACCAGATTTGGATGAGTCAACCATTTGATGTGGTGAGGTTGCCTAATCTATAAGCATAATATTTCACTCTATGTTAATAAGAATCCTTCATTGAACTGGCTGCTGATACAAACTCAATAGTTCATCCTTGTTGTTTCAACTCTCCCTCCTACAAGTTATGTTTAAACTTAACAGCAAATAAGTTTTGAACATAATTTAAAGGACAGGGTTAGATTCAATAAAACATCTGATAACATATTTCACTTGTTTTCTACGAAAAACATCCATAAGCTTGTTTTCGTCTTGGATTGATTACTGCATTATTAAACTTGGATGGTTTAATAATGGTTCCTGTATAACATTGACAGCTCTTGATGTGCAGTTCAGAAATGCTCACTCATTCAAAAAAACAGACTGTGAACATAATCAAACCAACTGTTATTTCTGACACCACAACATAACTGAGCTCATGCAATTTGGGAACACATAAACATAATTGCAGGAAACTGGGCTGCTGGCAGAGGCAGGTCATACTCACCACTCTGCTGCTGAACTTGTCTTCTTGGACAGAAATACAGTTGTCATTCACTTAGTTTTACAAACTGCTTCCATGTTGCTTTTTAAATAAATGTATTTTAAGTCACTGTCAATGAAAAGCTGGCTTTGTGCACAGATTTTCACATTAAAAGCCTACCAGTAATTCAAAGAGGATCATTTCTGTCTTTTCTAAAAGGCTCTTAATGTGAAATATATGCATGAAAAACTTTAATTTTGCTGACTGTGACTTATCAGTCAAAAAATAAATAAAACATGAAGGCAATTAGAATTTTGTGCTGTCGTTATTTGAGATTGTTAATTTCACATCTCCTCTTTATTTGAGAATTCATAGTAAAATGTGAACCAAAAGTTGAACGGATTTGTTCTGCTGGTCAGATAAAGCAAAAGGCCTTTGCCGACAACCCCTTGATCTTTCATTTTTCCTATTTAAATGTTTTTACTTTATATAAACGTTAATACTATATTTGACCTTTTCTGTTGTTGATATCCCTTATTGTTGGTGTATGGGGTATATTTGCTCTAAAACTGTTACCATCCAAATGACAAATGACAAATTCTGAAACCAATTTTGTACACCTAGAGGCTTTGGAAGTGGATGTCAAACTCAGCTTATGTGACAACCCTTGATTCTTAAGCTGTTTCTCAGGTTTTGGAGTCTGAAACATACAAACAGCTTCCTTCATAAAACTACAAAAGAATTTACTGTTTAAATTTCAAACAATGGGACCTTCACGATTCATCATTCAATTCAGAAATTAAACATGGATTCACATGATCCCCAACGTGAGCACAAGCAAACAGCCTGAACTGCTGACAACAAAAATACATTTGCATGGGAACTGCATAGGGTGTACAATGGGCTATTTGTGTTTAAGTATTGACAGAAAAACATGAAGCATCCTTGTTTGATGGATACATAATTTCTGTTTTCTGCAACAGGATTTCACAAAACCATTTCTCTATTTGCAGACAAAGGAGATTGCTGTGAAGTCACAGCTCTAGCTATGCATGCTACAGGTTAACAAAATTCTGACAAGGAAACTGTAAACTAATCCTCACAGCAGAATAGTGTAAAATTATACCCTCTTCATTTTAATCATACAAAAAGGAATCATTTGGATCAGAACATTTTTTCATTGAGCTAATCATTAAGCAAAAAACAATTGAATTTGTCTACAAGTTTTAGTTAGCTATACAAATACAGCCTCCTGTCCTTGTGTGCAGGATAACAAATATACAAAAGTCCCTTAGTCTATACCTATGCTTTTTTTAAGTTATGAGAAAAAATGACAAACCAGATTAATATGAATTTACCTGAGTAATTTAATCCAACTCTGCATACAACCTTTGCTGATACTATCCCCTTTCATTCAGCCAGTGCTCTTACCATAACTCCTAATTACAGTGTACCATTTTCACAGTTGAATTTGACATGGGCATGATGAATCATGCATGCAGTACATAATTTACCAGAACATGAACCTTTTAAAAGATAAACTATGATTTGGGTATTTACAAGGACAAAAACTGAACAAAGTGGAAGGTCATAAAAAATATACAACTTCAACCAATCCACCTCAGAAGGACAAAATATCAACCCATTCGAAAGTGGTGGAAAACCTTTAGAAGAGTTTATTCCAGTCTCTAGTTGCCTCCATGAGATGCCTCTGGCCATGGCCAATCCAATCTTCTTGACTGTGGAAGAGCCGACCACAAAACCAGCAGTCAAACACCACTGGCTCTTGTCTACAACCTGATAAAGTTTCCACTACCTCATACTTTTTTTTGCTTTTTTTCCTCAGTTTCAGTTTAAGGAGGAACCGCTCTCGGACAGAACTTTGAACTGGCCGAGGTCTTGGATCATCACTGTGAGATGTTGCACCTTTGGTCAAGGAATTCTTCCCGAGAGGCCCAAGTTCTGAGAGTGCTTGCATTGTTTTTTGAGACAAAGAGACCTTAGTGACCGCACCTTTGTACCTATTGACTACCCTCATGATATTGGCCACTTCAGGAATGTCAGCATCTGGATGGTTGAGCACCACTACAGGCTGGTATCTACGAGGGCATTTGAACTGCTGTACAGAGCTGAGTGGGGCAAGTCTCAGTGTCCTTTCCACTTCTTTGGCTACAGGCTTCCATAACACAGTAGTCTCTTTCTCAATTGGTACTTTATTTGACAGTCTTCTAGCCTTATGCACTGTTGCTGGAAGCTCATCAAATAAGGCTTTCCTGCGCCTTTTCCTTTGGCTTGGAGGCCTAACTGGCCTTGGGGCAAGGATTGGTTTCTCTGCTTCACACGATTGTACCTTTACATTCATCCGAGAAGGAGACACACACAGTTCCTTGGCACCTTTTTCTGCAGTATTTTGTATGGTGACCAGTTTCTTTAGTCCGTTGGTAGCAGTTGGGTTAGATTTGTTTGAAGACACCAGGAAACACTGCGTCTGAGGTCTGGTGGCCAGAAAGAGAGGTTGACTGCTTGAGGTGGGGGCGCCACTTGTAAGAAGACTACCAGTGGGAGTTACAATTTTAAATATAACTTTGTTTCCGGAGCTTTCATTGTTTTGGCTGCACTGTGTCCCAGCCTTTACTTCTTGGTTGTTCAGAAGCAGGCCTGATTTGGGTGGGGAAATGTATCGGAGCAAGAATGCTTGCCGACCAGTCTGCAATGTGCTGGGTTTGTCTGCAGAGCTTGCAGGCATGGCCAAAACTGGTCGCGAGTTCAGTGGGAGCTGGGTACTTGCCAGTCGGAGGCCAGGAGTACTTGGGGTCTGAACAAAAGGGACAGACCTTTGCACCAAGTAGCACGTTGGCTGTGTCTTCGCTGTTTTGTCTAGAGGTGCATTATGTGGTGTACTTGAAAGGATTACAGGACCTGTAAAACCTGGACTGTTAATAAGGTAGTGATTTGAGGCGGTGTTAACACCTGTTTGAACAGCAGAGAAAAGAGTTGTCCCTTTTTCAGCAGTCCCTGGCTTTGCTGCTGGTAAACCTATCTTCCGACTGTTTGGAGTAAAAGCAACACCACTGGTGTTATTTGATCTTTCTAACCCTGGCTTCATGTAAGACACACTGATCTGAGGATTTGCAGAGTCTGTTATAAGTTTGAAACCTGGAGTGGCCTTGACCTGCACTGGCATAGCAAATCGATTCTCAGCAGCCCTTAGGAGTACTGGCTGCTTGCCCTCTGGCAACTGAAGAATTCGCAAAGTTGTTTTTGTTTGTTTTAAAGAATCATTGGTTGCACATGAAGATCCTGTTCTTTCCTTGTTAAGTTGTTGGGTAATAATTGCATCTGAATGTTCTTCCACAAAACTGCCCAAGGAAGTTGAACTACTCCTTGATTCAGTTTGTTTTTTGGAAATAGGAATGCTGTCCTCCTCAACTTTGATAATATTGAAATCTTGGAGCACTGAATCAGGGTTCTCTTCAGCCAGAGAATCGTCAACACTGGCAATGCACTCATCAACCTCAATTTCACCATCTGTACTTTCTGTAAATTGTTCTGCAGACTCCTCTAATGTCAAGCTAAACTGTGATGGTGTACAGGTACTTTCTTTTTCTGCTGAATGTTTAGAATAATAGTCAAAGTTTTGGGTAGTGGTAGGTAAACTGCTGAACGTTTCCTTGGAATAATTGTGAAAGGTAAATACTTCTTGGTTTGGTGACTTTTGTGAGTGTTTCTCTGAGCCAATGACACTCTCTCTGTGGCTAACTGAGTTGGGTGGGGATGGCTGTGATGGAGACAGCATTTTTTTTTCGCTGTACTGGCCATTTTTATTTTCAATCTCACTTCTAACCCCATTAGGTCTTTCTGGTAGGTCATCATTTTCTGTAGTGTTAAAAGCAGAGCTCCCTTGGTGTTTCCCAATAAGTTTTTCATTGCCATCACTCATTGGCAACTCATCCACAGCACCACAGTTTTCAACAGTTTTTCTCAAAACTAATTTGGAAAGCAGTCTATCCTGAGCAACTTTTAAAGGTGAAGACAAACCAGTGACTTTACCAGCACACACCGTTGTAGAATGACTAATTTTAGAAATACTATGGCTGGTTGCATCAGAATGACAAGTTGCAGAGACTGAGTAATTATTCAGCTTATTTCCCTCGGTGTACGCCATGTCATTTGGGTTACTTTGGTGGCCATCATGTTCCAACTCATTTGTCATTGGATATAACGTATCCATAAGAGTTGGAGATACATTTAGTAAAGGATCGGTTTGGTCCCCAATATCATCTCTATGTGGAGTGGCAATAAGGTTGCAAACCGAGGTTTCCTCTTCCTCAATCTTTACTTTCACTGCCATAATATCGTCATGATCTGTCTGTATGCAAGACGGACTTCTTGGTGACACAGCTGAGCAATGTGATGTTAAGCCCTTGCTATCGGAGCATTGCCCATTGTTAATAGAGACTTTACTTTTATCAAACACAGGATTTAGTGCTGAGAAGCCCACACCTTCAACTATGGAATGGTTCTGAGCAGCCAAGTCTTGCTTTGCTGTTGGTATCACCTTGAGAACTAAATGTTTTTTCCCATCAACCATCTTGAATCCCATTACTTTGGTTGTACAGTTAGGGGGAAGCGATATTTTGTTCTTCACCATCAGAACAGTCAGTCCATTAGCGTTGGTGTGACTGCCGGCATCAGAGCTTGAAGAGTTATCACATTCCTGTAACATGACTGTATTATGAGAACCTTTGCTCCAACTTCTGATGTCTTTTTTTGCAACAGGCCCATCCATAAAGTGGTGGGCTTTCTCTAAGGATATCTCTGGTTTGATCAGTCTGCCATTTTGATTTGGTAAACTCCCAGAAAGAGAGTTCAGCTTTGACATCCTTTGAGCCTCCTGTGTATCACCACTCTTTTTAAGCAACAGTTTTAAACTTGCAGATGAATTTGCTGGTGTGCCGTTGTCTGCTGTAGGGTTCCATGCATTCCTTCTATCAGCCTCTTCTTTGTGAACAGCTGCTGTGTGTTTTTTAAGGTACTCGCTTCTTGCTGCACCATATCCACAGATTTGACAGGTGAAGGGGAATGTACCCGAGTGACCTTTCATATGCTTCTGGTGATCCTCTTCATTCAAGCTAATATGTTTACATTTTGAACATTTCCAATGACTCTCATTATGATGATGGATGTGCTGGACAAATGTCCCTGCATCCACAGTTGTAAACTCACACCAGTCACAGTTAAATTGTCCATTCAGGCTGTGACTCATAATGTAGTGTCTGGTAAGCAGAAGCAAAGAGTACTGAACATCATCATTGCAGAGCTCACAAGTAACCAGAGTATTTCTGTGCTCAATCCGATGGCGCTGAAGAGCAGGGAATTCATTTGTGACAAAATCACACAAGTCACAGGGGTATGTAGGAAGGGTTCCTTTATGAACTGCTCGAAAATGTTTCAGGAGATCATTGGGGCTAAATGTGAAATTATCTTTACACACTGAGCATCCAAAACTCAGAATTTTGCCTGAGAAAACAGCCCCCTGCTGAATTTTACAGTGGGCTTTTTTGAGAGTCTGTTTATCTTTCTTAGTGCAGCTCCCATGTTCCTTAATTGGAGATTCTTCTGCATTACTGAAGAGTGGCCCATCTGTTACGTCTCTGAAATGCTTATACACAAAGTCTTTTACCTTTTCTTTTTCATCCTCTATTACTGATCTGTTGCAGTTTTTGGCAGATTCATGAGGTATTGTGAAGTCTTCTTCCATACTTGCAAATCTGCAGAACTCTGTAAGAGAAGAAATAAAATGCATTTCTCATTTACTTAAGCTTGATATATACTTCTGCACTGTATGTACCCTCTACCTATAAACAACATGAAATGAAACAGAAATGTAACTACATGTCGCAGTGACACAGACTGTAACGACTGCAATGAATCTGCTTAGTCCACTTGGTAATATGCAGAGGTTTGCCTAAATAATGTTGCAGGGGCCTTGCGCCCTCATACTCCCGGCTTGCGCCCTCTTACCAAAATGCCAATTGAACTGCCCGCCATCACGCCGGCGTGACATAATCATATGACATGTTCGAGACGTCACAACAGTAAAACTATCATATATACTGCAATGCCGTCAACTTCTCTCGAAAGTGCACTTTAAACTCTCGCCCAGTTTTTGTTTCATGTCAATAGACCACATAAAACTGGACATACGACGTGATGAACATGCGTGACAAAAAACGTGTAAAATGTAAGCATATGAAATACGCACTGCGGGCATCGCGTTTCTTTCAAAATCTCCATCATTTTTAGTGATTGCTTTTTTGTGACAAACAAAACAAAAGGGAAAGAAAGTCCCTGGAAGTGTCGGTCCTGTAATGTGGCTGTCTGCCTCATTTTGGACAGAAATCATTTTCAGGAGTTGCACAGATAAAAACAGAAAGAAAGCCACACCTGCTATAGTTGCATATATTGGTATTTAATTGATTCTATATTAAATTTAACTTTTCAAATTCACATCTGCAACCTATGGTTACATTTTCAACTTTTAAAATGCTTCGTTAAGAATGTTTGTGGTTTTTATTGTCATAAATAATACATTTCCTCAAATCGGATTTTGTATTTTTTTATGTGTTTTTGAGCCCAAAATGTTAAAATAGTTGATTAAAGTGACAAAATAATGGTCAGATTATATAGGGAATGTTATGCTAAAAAAAGGACACCGAACATGGGCATGGTAAACATGTTTTTATGTTGTATATAAAGACAAAACTAAAAGTATGCAAAAATGGCCAAAACAGGCCAAGACCTCTAAGGGCTAGTAACACTTGGGCCATGTTCTTACATGCTGCCGTACAACATGCAAAATGATCTTCTCGGCCGTGAAAATATCCCAGCACCATCACAAAACAATGTATCTGATCATTAAAAACGTTATAATGACTCCAGCATATTCCGATTGTGGTAGATACACCTTTAGACGGTGCAAAAAACGATCGAAATTAGCATTTTCCATGCCGAGGTGCCATATTGTTTTGGTGTTAGCTGCTCTCACGAGATTTCATATAGGTTACATGCAAGGTCAGCTGACCTACACAGCGAGATTTCTCAAGACTGAATGACCTTTCACCCACATGTATGATACAGTCTTACTCCATGACATACTCAGGTTAGTGTACAGCATAGGGTCTTGCTCCCTGACACTGTTACACTGGTTAAAGTACATGTATGTGTATCATGGTGTACGAGCATGTAAGAACATTCCAAGTACTAGTAAATAGAAGTTTTGCCAATACTAGTATTTGTCATGTTTTCATTTACAGAGCACAGTTGTATTACAATTCTAACCAAACATCAATTGCTCAACAGTTGATATTGTCTTGATTTCTGAAGTGTCATGAGCTAAAATTTCTCTCTCAGATAGCCTCAGAATGTCCCATTTAAGATGAAATTTTTCAAAGGCTTCGCACCATTAAAATAATTCTGTTAAACCACAGTTCAAAAGCAATGTCTGACTTTCACTTCTTAATTTTCATTGAATTTTTTATTTATTATTATTTTTGTCAGATTCAAGTTATTTCTGTGACCATTGTGGGTTTTTCTTTCATTAACCGAGGGG